AAAAAAAAAGATGTACTAAATTCGAAAGAAATTGTAAGAGAATTGTTGCCTTGTATTTTTCATAAATATCGTTTGAATAGATGAGAATGGATTTGTATGTGTTCAAGACTTTGTTACAAATCTGCTCTACTGAAACTCGTGTTTAAATGTTCCATGACTTTTTTGTAAAAGTTTCACAAACTATGGCAGGATGGACAGGTACGTACGCGAAGGAGCTGAAACAGCCGCTGGAGTGAGGCCAACTCAACACTAATCGTTCGTAGTACTTGTCTGTGAACTCGAGGAAGCCTTGCATACCGCATAGAACAACTTCAGAAACAAAGGAAACAACATTCACTAAATATATGGGACAAAACAAAATTCGCAATGTCGCGGCTTTACCTTGTTCCATCATTAAATCTGGCGTTTGATCGGGAAATCCGGCAGTCTTGATATCGATCAGATCTTGAAGGATCGCGGAACAGTAAGATAGTATTAAATCCGACGACGGAAGATCTCGATCGCATTTCAACTGAAAGAAATTTGATTAACGTATTGAAAGAAGAGATTGAAGAAGAGAATATGTTGATGGCACTGACCATCTTGGCAATTAGAACGATCAGCAATCGATGAGTAAGGGGATAGCCTCTGGTTGATTTACGATTGGCCAATATCTCGGCGCACAAGCCGGGAATCCTGTCGTTCGAGTTCAATCTGTTTCGAACGATTTCAGCGAGGCATCGATCGCTTTCTTCCTCCTTGGGCGCTCCTTGCATTATCAGTTCCCGTATGTCTCGATAAGTTAATTTCAGATTGGCCTTCCCTTCTCGCAGGGCACCGCGACGCCATGATATCTCCTTCAGCCACAATGTTGGATAATTTATCGTCTCGTGCACTACAATCGAACGAAATTTCATTCCTCCATTTCGGAACCTATCTGTGATCTTATCTTTACTCGATGTAAATTCATTCTTACGTAATTGGACGTCTTCGTTCCCGGGGACGACTGCATCTAACAGATCTCGCCGAGTCGAGTCGCACAGCTTTAAAATCGTCACGAGGATATTTCGATGCTCGTCGAGAAGTGCATTTTTATGCAGAAAGATAGCAGCCACGTTAGCTGTGCGAAAGTACAACAAAAGATACATACAAGTTGTTTAAAGCTTAACACATCCCGTGGCAAGCCATTTTTGCCTTTTATTGTCGTTCAGGCCACTAAAGGTTGATATATCATCACACAATCTTTCATTCACATCATCAATCGATAAGTAGTTCTCTTGTTTAGAGTGCTGGTCACATCGTGGTACCACCGGTGGTACACATGGCACGGAACGTGTTAAAATCTTAAAAGAATCGTTTACCTTCGACGATTGTCAGTGACAACGTGACATCGGCGTTCATCTGGCCTGGTCTTTGATTAATATAATCGACTATCTTAGACAGGACGACTAACTTCCCTTCTATAAAATAATAAATGCAACTTCTAATTCTCCATGGAATAAATGTCTCTTCGCTTATGAAAAAAAAAAATTGCAATTCCGATGAGAAAAAATATAACATGTTTGTTCAATCTCACCAAAGTCTTTCGAAGAGGAGGTTCCATGACCGCAAGCGGGGAAGCCGCAAAAGTACAGAACCAACCAAGCGAACCTTCCAAGTGTTTCCATGTAGCTTGCAATGCTGAAGAAGCTGTGTCTCGATTTTCCCGAGCACTTTATACCGTGCTCAGTGTCAGCCCGTGCGTTTACGCGACTTGAACGAAATTAAGATTAAAACGAATCCTCGGAGATGCGGCCACTTTTCTTCATAAGGATCGACGCGTCGAATCCTGATGGACCGAATGAAAGCAGCTTCGAGCAACCGCTCGTGGGTGTTCGAATTGATATTAGAGAGGATGAATGAAAATAAGAGAAGGTAGATCTTGATTAATACGAAATTACGTGGCGAGCTACGAGACGTTTATTCTATCGATGAAAATACAAAATATTGTAACATGAGATAAGTGAACTGTAATTTCTACGCGAACTGTAGTAGTGGTATATATTTTAATCTGAATTTGGTAATTAAATGATACAATCAAAGTTCGTGCAAGAGTTTAGAAGCAATCAGGGTGGAATGGGTTCACGTAATCGCCGGAGACACAACCGGTTATTCCACGACTTAGTTTGAAACACTTCCCTGGCATTTTCTTCGTCTGTGAATTCAATCTGTTATTTCATCGTGTTTTGTAAAAGCATTGAAATTAATGGCAATGTTACTTACAACTTGATACTCCATTTGACAAATTTTACTACCTTCGTCATCGTCCGAATCACGTTGCATCGATCCAATCTGAATTTCAACAAGAGCAGAAAAAACCAAAAAGAAGAAAAAAAAAAAAAAAACGAGACAATGAGAATTACGCGAGTTGAATAAGAACATTTCTTACTCACACTGGGAATAATTATATGCCACGATTGCGGGAGTTTCAATTCTATTTACCGATTCTGCCGAATCTGTTGCCCTTGAAGAAGCTCTCGTCGCGAGAGCCGAAATGATAATTAAAATGAAGAAATGTCCGAAGCTCAACGTCCTTTATTTAAAATAATAATTTTATAATATAACAGCTGAAATACTTGAGGAAATGAAAAAAAAAAAAAAAAAAAAAAAAAGAAATGTAGAATCTTTCGAGTAAGTCAGACTTACATCTTCAAAATTTATCTGCAAGTTCTCCTTTAGAGGATAAGAAGCACTGTTATTTTTCTTAGGCTACAAGCACCTCTTATATTCACCGAGAAGCCAACGAATTTCTTTTCAATTGCGAAAGGGTTTCAACTCTTGGACAATCGCTAGAAGGGTTGTAATTCTCAAAACACACGTATTACGACATACTGTCGTTTGTAATTTACTAGACGAATGAAACAACAGTTTGGAATGAAAACAAGAATTTCTAATCAACAGAGAGAGGTTCGTAAAAAATAATCATTAGGTCATCCTTTGGCTTATTACGAAAAAATGCTTTGTTAAACAATAAGAAGATGGTTTATAAAAATAATTGTTTACCTGTTTATTTGTTTAGTGATGTTGAGTGTAACTGCTTACGTTTAATAAACAATTTATAATTATAGCGGATGTTTACAAATCATTTATAATTAATTACATAGAACATTAACAAGTAATCTTAACATTTAACGTCTATGATGTTAGATTGTTTGGATATTACAATGGAAAATTGTTAGCATAAATTAATATCATCTAATACTGCTATATCATACTTACATATATTATATATATATATATA